CGTGGTCCCAACGTGTTGGACGAGGTGTTGGAAGAATTTTGTGAATAGTGACGCCGAAATAAGTATAATGATGGTGACAAAGTCGAGGCAAGAGTTGGACTCTTTGTCCTTAAGTCGAATTTGCCCCGTAACGGTGCCTACGGATTTCAGCAATCGACTCCCAAGATACAACGGCTACACTTGTGTTTGTAGCACTCCAAAACACAAGTACAACGAACCAAATTTAGGCTTATGTACTCTAAGGATGAAATGAAAGAAAATCAAAATAAATGAAATGATTTTGATTTGGATAGAAGAGAGGATGAGAGACGTTTTGCATATCAAATTGTGTAGAATAGGACACTCAAATGGTCCTATTTATAGACCATGAAAGGGTGTGGACGAAATGGTTGAAGCCAAACCATGCACCCTTTCCAAACAATGCACCTTTATGAAAAGGTGTCTATTCACTGATTTTCGTCATTTTTTGTAATTTCTCATTCATACGATAATGGTTTTCGAAATGCCAAATATACCCTTCAATACATGCAGAGAAATCAAAATTCTCTTTCGGGGGCGCTGCCCTCTCGACCCCTGCGACCTGACCGGGCAGGTCGATCCCCGTTTGTGCGCCCCGAAGCGGCGAAGTGGCAAACAATTTTGCCTAAACGGATTGAGTCGAGCTTTTGAGTATTTGGCCGAAGTCGATACGAACTTTAATCGATTTTCAATTCTCGATTTATTTAACCAATATCCAACACGAGGTAGATCAAAACAGCCCACCCAAATTAATTGTTATTTTTTCTTACATTTTGTGATTAATTTGAAACTGAGAAGTATACTTCTTAAGTAGTATTGAATCAAACAGAATTAAAAAAATTTTATATGACAAGAAATATATGGCTCCTCGTGCAGATATTTAACTGGGATTGCTTGAAACACACATTAATAAATCCCTCTTGACCACAACAGGACAAGCCCCTCAAAAAATCAATGCACGCAGCAATAATGGTGTGAATGAGTTCCTCCAACTTTTGCAATAGGGATTTCAGGGTTAAAACGTGTTTGGTCATCTGACCTATGTCTGTTTTTACCCTTTGTTTGAAGTAGGGGTGTTAATTAAATGGGAAGAGTCAGCCTTGTTGGCTCAGGTTGGGTCGGGTCACAACCACGGCTAGTTGAGCAACGAGTTTCTTTTGCAAGCCACTTATCGAATTGTATGAGTTGACTCCTGAGTCGAGTGAGCGAGCTCATCGACATGTGTGTGAGCTGACTTCTGTAACGAGTTTAATATGTCAATTTCAGAAAAGGTTTTTGTCCCCCATTATTTGTGAATAATGTGTTAAGAAATAATGATTGATGTTGAAATGTGTAATTAAAAAAGAAAGAAAAGTTATAGATTCACGTGTAATATTATTTTAATGAAGAATGTGTGATTGAAAATGAGTACTGTAGAAAAATAATATGGTAAAATGGTAGACAAACACACTCTACATGTCTAGAATGACATTTCATTCCGCACATGACATTTCTCTACACTTGAAATATAGTTCTCGACGTTTCTGTGTCAGTGCGGTAAAGCATTTATTGTAATTTGACACGTGCACTTTTGAAATAAATAGGGTAGGTTATGTGTTAGAATTTTATTGGCCAATAAAAATTTTAATTGCAAAAATATCAATTTTTGTCTTTGTGTGGAGTCATAAATTGTTAACTAGGGTATTTTGATCTAAATTACTTCAAAATTGACATTTTTGTTAGGATTTGCAATGGTGGAAATTTTTGCAAATGGATACATGAAAGTGGACATTTCTAGTAATTTACCTTTTTTTTTTTTTTTTTCCTCTTAACAACAGGTTTTATTGCTTTCTTAGATGAAGTTATCTTCTAGCCTCAAAAGTCTTGGGCGTTTTATTGCCGAAAAATCCTTTTTCCCTTAAAGTTGCCTTGAATCCTTTTGTCATTGCCTAAACTTCTCTTTCCATTGAGATGGCGTATGCGTCTCTTCTTTCGCTTACTCAAACACTTGAGCAGATCCTGCATCCTCATGATCAATCTCCATCTCTTCATCAAACAGATCAACAGACCATAAGATCTCTCCATGAAAAGATTAGCATTTATAATTGAAACCCAAATATTGAATCAGATTCTCTTACAGTCTGGATGTCGTGAAGATATGGCTGAATTCAATATCTCGAATCAGATCGTATTGGAATGAGAGCAGAAACATGAAGGCTTGGAAAAGGTTTTTTGTCTGATATAGCTGAATTCAATATGTCGTGAAGATATTGCTGGTAACCGCAGTGTGAGGGTTAGATTCCTGAAATATAGAATTGAACTCCTTGTAGGCGCAGTGTATATGCATCTCTTTTTCCCTGACCTGCCGAGACACATCTCGCGATTTACCTCCCTCACAAAACTCTAAGAACGGGACGATTTACCTTTCCTTGTTGAGAGTGTAGTTGATTTCTTAATTTAATATCAATTGTTTTAAACAAATACGAATTACTCTACATAAACTATTATTTAATGTATGTGTATATCAGGAAAAAATTTTAAAAACTTTTATTTCAAGCTATATTAATTAATTACATTTTATTAATCTATGTAAAATTGAAATCAGCATATCTAACTTAAATATTTACGAAATCTCAAGTTGCCTATATTAAATTGAGTTTATTGCATTCTCCGGATAAATTGTTTCATCTCTAAGCAGCCAGACTGTTATATTAATGAAGAGAATTAAAATATCTCGAAAAGTGAAAACTCAAATTTTCATGTCCCCAAGTGGACAAATTTACCATTTTCATTAAATAAAAGCTTTAAATATCTTTGGTTACTGAGGCACCTGTGCCCTTATAATAAACAATAAATGAATGAATAATAATGGCGAAAAAAAAAGAAAAAAATATCTAATATCTTTTGAAATGTGGCGTTTTAGAAAAAAATCAATGTCTGTAAAAGAGGCAATTGTTTGGCATTAAAATGTTTCTAAAAAAGAAATGTATCTCAGTGGACTAACAAAATCACCGCTTGAAAGTTCTATGCAATGTGTAACATTTTGTTTGATGATCATTTTGTAATGTGACGATACTTCACCAAAAGATATAGACTTATTTATGAAAGACTTAAAATTATTTTTTATTATTGAAAGGAACTGCGTGTATAAGTCTAATTTTGAAAGAAACTTATGTTGCGGAAGCTCGCTCCAAAATCTTCGAATCGGTGATTTTTTAGCTCAGTTTTTCGTAACCTTTTTCTACCAAACAACCGATTCAAAAGTTTTGACTTTTCGATTTTACCTTTTAAATTTGAAAAGAATACTGAATATAGGTGTTTAATTAATTGAGGAGTTGACAGCAAATGGACGGAAGGATGGTTTTCTTAATGAAAGGTGTAAGTAGGAGTGAAAATACCAAAAAATGTAAGATGGAAACGTTTTGCACAATTATATTGAAACATATACACATTTTGTGTCCACATCCGCCATTACTTAGTTTACATAGCTACAACTCTAATTAAAAAAATTAATTTATTTATAAAATTAAAAATAAAACTGTGATACTTATAATGTTGAAATAAAATATTCTACAAATAAATACTAAATTCTAATTGGTATTGTAACTTGTAAGACGTATTGATCCCAGCATTGCCTTTCAAAAATGACAATCTACTATTCCAATCAAACCCAGTTGTTCTCCATTTCTTTCTCTATTAATTTATTATTATTATTATTTTTTGAATACTGATCTAAATAGTAATGAATGACGCTAAAAAATCTCGAGTGCATATATCATTTTTTTCTATTTCTTCTTGGCTTTTTGCCTCTCCTCTCTCCACTTTCTCTTTGGGCACTGATCGAAAACATGGGGCAGATTAGGAGGTAACAAAGGAATACTCGCCTAAG